GACAACAGCATTTTCCTGGAACAGAATAAAAATGCGTCACATATCGGAACAGAGAAAATGAATGTACATGCGTCAGGACTACTTCCAAAATCACACTCTGGTCATACCATGATTTCAACACCATCAAGAATGATACAACTGATGAGCCTTACACCTGCTCCTATACGTGCACTAGCCGATATTGAGACATTGGGACCAATCTGTTTCACCATGTAGCAGACTAGTCAATCCCATGGATGATGCAGACAACAGTAAAGAAAGAGAATGCTCATATAATGGGACAAAGCAACACCATCTTGTTCCCGAAATGGTATGCCCACATCATGATCAGAAAGTAATAAAAGGATATTATAACCTTAGCACTTGGATGTACTTTTGCCGATGGATGAATATAAACATCACCGATAATGGTGGCACTTTTTGTACCATCCCCACAAGCCAAAAGATTGGGAGAGGTAACCCGAAATTGGGAGAGATACAAACCAGAACACTTTAGGGACATTCTGCAGATATTGACATAGAAAAATTAGGTCTACTAGAAGGGACAAATGATGTTGCTTCATTTTAGATATGCAATTCACATTTGAGCCTAGGTATTGTTTGATGTTTCAATTTGATTTTTCTCCGTTTTCATTATCATTAAAAATGGAAACAAAAACCAGAGGAAAGAAACAAAGTAGAGGTGAAAGATATTGAAACAAATAGCACCCGACAACAGTCTGACTTACCCAGGAGTTTTAATTTGTTCCCAGAAATCCATTGTCTCATATGTATACAACTGCTTCTTCCCAGCAAAAGGAGTCAGAATGTCTTGATCCAACCGTACAAAATCTGCGGGAGGACTCCTGATAAAGGGACTCATATCAGGATACATGTTGAGATATACATATGGATTCAGCTAGATCCAAAATGGGGTAATTGTACCAACAAATAAATGCAACCAAATTCAAAATAAACATATTTTAAGTATTTTTCTATACAAATAAATGCCCACAGGAGGTACCACCCAGTATCTAAAACCTCAATATGGGTTCAAACTGCCCCAAGAAAATGTGTGAAGGATTCAGTTTATTTAGATTTTAACTCCATCCCCAGTAAAACAGTGTGCCTATTGCATGTATTTTTACCCATGTAGATGCATTAAAGCCTAGAATCATTTTGATGGCTTTCGATGCAACTGGGGAAAAAAAAATGAAACTTCATTAACGGAGAGCAAATAGTTGCATGATTCTAATCTATTAATTGCACATTGTACGGAAAATGTGAAAAAGCATGGCAAGCCATATAGGATAATTTTTTCAGCTTAGGTTGATGTCAAAGGAAATAGAACTGATGTAACATAAACTAAGTGCAAAAGTTACTACTGTGATTAAGAAAAAGAAAGAGTAAAATATGGTAGAGTGCACCTATTGTTGCTGTGATTCCGTAAAAGTAAAGAAAAAGGATAGACATACCTTGTAGCTGACTGGAGGGCTTCAAAGCTGGAGAGACGTCTCAGATTGGCTATAAGTAAATAAAACATGATTCAGATTCAGCATGATGAAGATTAATTATATTCAGATGTACTAGGAATATGAGCCAAAGCAAAATTTTCTATTTGATCAAGATGTGGAAAGATGGCATAACTTCAAAATGAAAAACAAACTCTATAGCTTGAAGTGATCCCCTAATAATATAACAGGCCAGTGCATTCATTTTGTGTTTTAAATGAGTACAGAGCCACAACAGTTTGGCAACTTGCAATTAAGAACACATATTTCATTTAACAATCTTCTATACCAACCTCTGTCTTTCCGTTGAGAGGAAACACCCTGTATGGCGGTAAAAATGTCTGGGGTAAATACATAGACACCACAATTTATATGGTCACTTACCTGCATTATGGAAAGATATTAGAGCAGAGCATCCCTTAAATCCAAACACTGGAAGAAAAAACAAAAAATGAAAAGTTTGGTAAATGTAGTCAAATCTCTGATACTGCACATACGAAAGTTTCAGGTTTCTCCGTATAATGCAACAGTTCATTGGTGACTGGATCTGCTACCAACTCCCCAAACTGACTGGCTGACTCAGCTGAAACCTATAAAGAGAAGAATGAGGCCAAACTACACAAGTACAAAGTAATACTAATAGATCATGCAATGACACAAATTTCCTCATGTAAATATCTTGCATTTCAGCTGACCAACCTTGATTACTAGGATGGTCCCCATTCCACCATATCTTTTGTGAGCCTCTGTGCATATCAAGAAAGAAAAAAGGCAGAATTAAGCCTCCTGTAAGACAAATATAAAACTAAAAGCAACAACCTCCCAGTCATTCTGTCTGTCTCAACTACATTTTAGTCCTAAAATATTGACACCAGAGACTAAGCAACATAAAGATATCACCAACAAACTCTAATCAGAAAATTAAGATTGATATAACACATGGTCAAACATTGCAAAGAAGATTACCAAGCATTTCTGGCAGTGGAAAACTGCAGCAAACATCACAATTCAGCAAGAAGATATGAGACTGCAACAAGATAAGCACACAACACATCTATATTAGTATGTGAAAGTGAAGTATGAATGAACAAAAAGTACAAATTAGAATCTGAGTATGTCTGTCCATTTCACTCTATTAAATCACAAGAAAGTGTCAAGACAAAAGGATATGCCTCTATGGAGGAAACAGGTTAAGAAATAAACCGGATTGTCTTCCATGATCAGATCTCTGAAGTTGTAAAGTCCACCAGCCGAACCATGTGGCTTGTCTTCCCTTAAGTATCTAATAGCAGTGTAAAAGTAAAAAAAAAAGAGAGAGGATTAGCACTAAGATTTAGCAATCATAAAGACATGTCAATCCTCTCATGACCATTGTACATTTAGCTGAGCGCTGAGCACAAAGGCAAGAAGTTACCTGACAGGAACTCTTAGTTCATTAGAGATTGATGAGACATACATTGCAAATTCACGCTCCTCATAGAAACCAACTAGATAGATCTGGGCTAGGTTTGGAATCTACAAACAGAGACATTGACCTTAAGAACATACCAGAAGTGTTAAACAAAAAGTGCATTTTTATGTTCTATTAGATATAGATCAAACATCGCACCCTTTTACAAGCAGAGATTGGATGATGAACCATAGGTTGTCCGGCCAAAGGGAATAGAGGCTTTGGAATGTTCAATGACAATGGTCGAAACCGAGTGCCTGCAATATACAAAATATCAAAGTGATACCACGTCAAACCTTCAAATTGAATCGAAAATTTTATATCTAGAGCACATCAAATCCAAAGGAAATAATGAAAGCATTTCAATTTTCAGTCCAAAGATAGAAGTTTTCACTAATTTGACTCGAAATTATGAACATTAACCAAAGGAAAAAGGCAGAAGATGTCATTATTCATTCGAACAAACTTCATATCTAAACCAAATAATCAGAACAGAACTATAATGAGCAAGCCATAACACCCAAGTGCATAAACTTCCCCATAAAAACCTTGTCTCCGCTCAGTCTTTAGAAGATAAAAGGCGTACCTTTAGTAGGTCCACCGACCATGATGACAGCAACCACCTTCTCGTCTGAGCTCCCCATCTCGTAATAACAGAAATTCCAGATCTCTAATACAAAAGCGGAATAGGCAAAACGAAATCTTATATAAGAAAGCTAAGAGTAGCCTCTCCTTAAAACTAGCTAACAAAATGAATTCACATTCTACACATGACCCAAATGTACGATTTGGATAAACATTGAGGCATCCAGTACCAACCAAATGAAGCACACAGTAGCAGCACGACAAATAAATGTGTGTAGCCGGAAAAGTTAGAGAGCCAGAGAGAGAGAAAGGTGAGTGATGTAAAGAGATATAATAATAATAATAATAATAATGTAAAAGAAAGAAGGAAATTCTCTGGGGGGTACAAAAAGAGGCAGGATATTTTGGAAGATGCAGGTTTAGTGAGATAAAATGAGTAGAGTTTTGGACATGCAAAGACAAGACAAGACAAGACGTAACCCACCGGGCAGCGACAACTAGGCTAAAAAGAAATAAAAGCGTAAAAGAAAAGGCCAAAGCAAGGAAGTTTCGTTAGGCAGGCTTCAGGTACCTGGGACTTTTCAGGTGCTCAAACTGTTTGAGCACATGCTTCCATGCCCCCGCTGTCCGTCCGTTTCACTGTTATTGCGGGAAGAGGTGGGTTTGGTGGTGGGACTGCTTACCTGGTTGGCTGTTGGCCCACTTCACCATGTTGGGTTTTGGGACGAATATTCAAACGTAACAAGTATGTATGTAGTTGTTTATGATGAATTTGCTTACTTAATTTTAATTTATGAATAGACATAGAGAATGAATATATGCACTTACTATTCGAGTAACGTATATCCAATTCTACAAATATCCATAACTCCCATCGGTACGTGAATTATGCCTGCCGGTATTCACTATCATATATCTTTGTCAAGAAATTAAAACATACGAGTAGAATAAATCTGTACCACACCCAAAAAGCTACGTGTCCTTCCGTAACAGCGTTTTGACCACCAAGTTGACGGCACCTAAAATCTCTGAGTTGGCTATCTAAAAGTGCGAACCAGCCTTAAAATTTGCTTCTAAACTAAGAAAAAACACCAAGTGAAATGGAGCTTTAAATCTCAAGCAAAAATATATACAAGTTTGACAAGCTGTTCCCTCAGCCATTGGTAGAACCTGCCATGTGACAAACCTACCTCACCCTTTTTGTTTACAGCCAGAAATCATCGCACTCTGGCTGAGAGAGCAGTGTCCTTATGTAACAACTGCTTCCGACTCATATCAACCTACGCAACTACGTCTGTAATAATACTTCCACGTACAAGGCTAGCACAAAACCAGTTAACTGTGAGTGAGAGCATTTCTCCTTTTCTTTGTTCTGTTTTCAACATAACTCCAAAGCGATTCACACTAACCAAATCACACCTACAGAAAGTATTTGTATTTTCCAATTATTATCAATCTTTCCTTCTTTTTACCACTATTATTGGTAGACCTGCAATTGCAAACACTAGTATTTGTATTTCCAAGGACAACTTCATTGCTTGGGAGACTGGTACCACTCCCGTGGTTCATCGCACACATACTGTGTCACCTGTTTCACAGTCAAGTCATTTTCAAGTCCCCTGCCACAAACATACCCATCTGTCAGTACTACCTCTGACTTTGCTCATTATATAAACTGGGAATTAACAACATATAAAATGCCTGGCTTCTCTGTTTTCTTTGACAAACTGGATATGACTCTGATGATTAAGGTAAACTATCCAAAAATAAAATAAATAAATAAAGATAAAATACCATTCCCCTAGTTCACGCCCAAAGCCACTCCATTTGATGCCTCCGAATGCTGTTTGGAAGAAGCATGGTTGTGAACAATTGATCCACACAGTGCCTGACTGCACAACCTGCATGAAAGAAGCTAAGGTAAATACTCAGTTCATTATTCGCAAAACCAACTGCCATCTCTAGGACACCATGCTTAGGCTGCATCATTGCAAGATGCTTCAAACACAAGTCTTACCTTGCTTAAACAATCACACCTTTCCAAATCCTTTGATATCACAGCAGAGACAAGGATCAACTCATTGGAATTGTACACATAAACTTACTGGGTATCATTTGCCAGTTCAATGGCTTCATCTTCTGTGCTAAATGTCAAAAAAGTATTGGGTGACTGGGAGAAGAGCAACACTCCTAGATGATTCCATCAAGAAATAAACGCACGCAGTGTGGCCGAGTAAGCAACAAAAATATTACTAAAACACCAAAATAAGTGAAAACACAACAGGAAGAAACTGGACGTACCATGGGATAATCAAACCAACAACCCCAATGGGTTCCTTGGTCACATAGGTCTTAAATGTCTTCATAGGAAGAGAGACCGGCGCCTTTTGCTTGGTATCTAAACCTTCAGCGAGGTCAGCATAGTACTCAAAGCATCCAGCAACATCCTCCTATAAAACACAAAAATGCAGGTTAAAACCCTACAGAATATGGAAACATAACGTCTCCAAAGGTGCTGCAGGCATACTATGTCCCCTTCTGCTTCACTAAGTGGTTTCCCACAATCAATTGTTTCAAATTTTGCAAGTTCAGATTTCCTCTCTTTTATCTGGATCACTCAAAGAACCCATAAAATAAGAGGTCAAGACATAAAAAAGATCCAAGTCACTTTCATCAAGAGAACAAGAATGTCAAAACAATAGCAGAATGTAACAAACACACAAGCATTACATTTAAAAGAAAACTCTGATAGGAATTCTGATTAAAAAGAAATGCAACATCTTCATCAGTCAATTCTCAAACCCAGCACATCTAAATTAGCTTAATTAATTCTACCTAGCTATTTACTCATATCAGTGACGCCATTTCTTGCGGTTCACTTGGGTAGTGAATCTAATGAACATGGATTTTTTTCAACAAGCTTGCATTGCAAGTGTAAGGCCCACAGCATGTTCAGAAGTTTCCTGAAAGCATACATATTGTCTAGTAGGAAGGATAAATCTAAGAAATTAAACAATTTTCATAGTAAAATGGTGCAATTTACAATTTTTGCAACATTGGCTTCTCGAATAGATAACAAAAGTGCGGTTCCAAAATTGATATCCATTTTTTGGATAAATGAGACTGGCAAAAGCAAATACTAGTAGCAACTAAGAACCAAAAGGAAGGCTGAATTTGCAAAATTACCTTGGAAGCAATGGCAAGCAAACACTTTGCACGGACAGCAGCGGAAGCCAAGGCCCAATCTTTCCCTTTGTTCCGAGCGAGTGCTCTACGAGCGGCTTCCACCGCAACGTCCACATCTTCAGCAGTCGCCGCCGGAATATCACCTGAAAAACAGAATAGAAGTATCAAACAATGAACAAACCACCATTTTCTATTTTCTATAAAGCTTAAAAGAAATATGGAGTGACTATATTATATTTAAGTGAAGGAAAAATTTTAATAAACCGATGATTTGTTCGGTAGTAGGATTGATGATAGGGATGCGTCTCTTGAGTAGAGGCTCTCTCCACTCGCCGTCGATGAAAAGTTGTCGGCTTGGAATCGGAATAATTGCCAGTTTTTGCTCGCTCTTTTTCTTCAGTAGAGTCAACAGTGCATTGATATGCTCTCGCTGCCATGAGTCATCATTGGTCGTCGAGTTGAAAGTGAATTTCGTTTTTTTTTTTTTGTCTTTTTGTATATTGTTTGTTTACTGGCCATTTTTGTATTTCGATGGCTGATGTAATGTATTCTTTTGTTGCTTCTACTGTATTGGACGTTGTGGATTGAGACTCCCCTCTCCCGCCATATTCTGTATTAATACAAAACATTAAAAGAAACCAGCGATCAATGCCAGCGGATCTAGGAGCCGGCGCTATAAACCAAAACGCGAGATCACGCGTCAAGAAAACACCAGATCTGGCGTCGTTGGTCTCCGATCTAGAGCTTAGCACCAGATCCGGCCACTTTCGGCGCCAGAAACAGCGAATGAACGATTTTTTCTCTTCCTTTCAAGTTTTCTACCTACCAAGACCAAAAAGCATTATCCCACCATCGCTGTGGGAGGTGACGATACAGCCCACAGGAAAATACAAGTTAATCAAGTATAAGACAAGAAAATATAATGAACAACAAACTATATGAAAAATAATCCATCTTTTTCCAGTATTCAGTTCAATACATAGTACATTAGCAGTCCTCTCAGCTCTCACAATATTATTCCCTCTTCTCCCCTGTTTTAGTGCAATAGTTTTGTTTCAACATCCAGGAGAATTCTCACAGCTTTGATGGAGAGCGATACCATCCCCATGATTCGTCCGAGACATACTGTGTGACTTGCTTCACACTCATGTAATTCTCCAGACCCCTGTGGAAAAAAAAAAAAGCCAGCAAAAAGGAACCAGGTGCTGTTAGAATCAAATCCGACAGTCATCCAGGAGAAGAAAAAGCATTTTGTTGATATAAGAAGCATCGATACAGAGACTTCCATCAAGTCAGAAATGCTTGGCATTTGAAAATTATAATAATATGATACTGCAATACTACAATTTGGATGATCAGAGTAATACCATTCCCCTAGTTCACGCCCGAAACCACTGCGCTTGTTGCCTCCCCATGGAGCTTGACAGAAGCATGGCTGTGAACAATTGATCCAGACTATACCTGCTTGGAGAGCCTGCAAAGCAGGAGAAAAGATAAAAATTTCAATGACAAAGATACTGAGATTTACAACTTCAATTAAGGTGCAGAATGGCTCAAAACTTCAAACTACCAGCAACTCCCACCTTACTGACACGATCACATCTTTCCAGGTCATTTGATATCACAGCGGCACCCAAGCCATAACTGGAAATTTAAAAAAATAGTCATCAGAATAATCAGACCAAAACAAGAAAGAGAAGGGAAAGAAATCATTAAACAACCCAAAAGAAATTAGAGGCAGTTTATGCAGACAAAATATCAATTTACTGCACTTAAATCAACAAGAAATTTAGGTGACTCACTGGGTGTCATTTGCCAAGTCAAGGGCTTCCTCTTCGGTACCAAATGTTTTAACACAAAGAACAGGTCCAAAAACTTCTTCCCTCCAGATTTGCATGGAAGTTGTCACGTCAGTTATTATAGTTGGTTCAACAAAAAACCCCTTCTTTAAATGCTGCCAAATATTTGTTAATATATAAGAGAAGGTGACAGGTTTGGAAAGAGATGCAGTGACAATAGTGAGAAGCAGCAGATACCTCAGGACGAACTCCACCACACAGAATGGTAGCACCCTCACTCTTAGCAGTTGAGATGAAATTCAATACTTTCTCATACTGTAGCCAATGAAATAAATTTTACTAAGCACAAAATCTTGAAATTTTGAACATATAGGTAGTAGCATGTCTAACAATTGACTCTTTAGTAACATAGGCTGCCAAATGCCCAAATCAACTGAATTTTCAAATTCAATATCTAAACCTGTCACCTCAATACATATCAAGAGAACCATAGAGACAATGGAGAACAAACATAACAAGGTGGATTTAACAAAAAGCACTAATGGGAGCACAGGAAGAAGGATGGGGAAGCAGATTATTTCTGCAGAATTTAACATCTCCCACTGGCCCTGCTCCCCATTTCAAAAGAAGGAAAAGGAGAGAAGGATGGAAAATGATACATAGTTCTCAAACAGCATTATTACCTGCCCTCCACTAACAACGGGGCCGAGCCTGCAACCTTCTTCTAAGGGATCTGAAATCTTAATCTTCTCAGTCCATTTCACAAGCCTGTCCAGAAATTCTTTTGCAATGCTTTCCTGAAATATTGAAATGTACATTTTCATAATGAGAAGAAAGATGGAAACAAGAAAAAAAGGGAAAAGGGACAAGGATAGACTCCTGATTAACAAAAAAATTGTCTAGTGGATCTATTATATGAAAATTTTCAGCTGGCAGTGAATTATAACTAAGCGCTTAATCTAGTACGAAATAAAAAAAGGGTAATATTTACAGCTCTTCTTCACTATATCAGGAAGGCAAAATGATATGTGTTCCAAAAAGAAATAGTTATACCAATTTCTAGGACAACATACCATAAGGAAGCCTTCTAGGTTGATGTGCTTACTCTAGAAAGTGGTTAGTTACACCAGTTTGTATGTGAACTGGATCGGTTCACATCATGCTTGAAACTAAACAAAATTGCATGACTGCGTGTGTATAATAACCTCATTCTGGATTACTACAAAATTTCCCATTCCATATATTGAATCAAAAGAGAAATTGGAATGAGGAACAAGTGTCTGGAAACCCTATAAAGAAAGAGCAAACAATGTGGTTAAGCAACTCACATGTACAATAAGACGGGATGTTGCACTGCAGATCTGTCCATTTGTCCAGAAGCAACCAAATGCAGTCCATTCAGCAGCTATTAAGATCACCAAGAATTTCAATGAACTTAATGAACTGGAGTATAGTTTTCTAACATGATAGGTCTTAGAAACGTGACATTTATGAACAATTTGTTTCTAACGAACAAGTCCTACTACATGAGGAACATTGACAATACATCGATTAAATTATAATTCTGAGGGCACTAACCCTTGTCAAGGTCAACATCCTCGAAGACAACAATTGGGCTTTTCCCACCAAGCTCTAAAGAAACAGGCTGCCAAAGAAAGTACATAAGATAAAATAATTTTATGCAGATATCAAAGTGACTATGACAACAATAAGAGAACAAAAGGATACTTTAAGTTTTGAATTCTTGAACTTTAATATACCTTGACCATTTGAGCTGCTGCTGCCATTACCTTGCTCCCTGTTGCAGTGCTTCCAGTAAAGGCAATCTGTTTAAAACTAACAATTAGAACTTATGCCACTTCTGACATTTATCTTACAATAACCCAGATCATCAATCATTCCTAATTCAAGTTCATAGAAAAGCTTCAATAAAAAAATGATTAAAGACATTTAAACCTTGTCAACATTGGGATGAGATGCCAAAGGAGCACCAGCCTCAGGGCCCAGTCCAGTCAGAATGTTCAGGACACCAGGAGGAAGACCAACATCCCTACAGATTTCAGCCAGCTCCAAACAGGTGCTGGGTAAAAATAAAGAAAATAAAAAGCACACATCATGAGCAGCATTTTTTGGTCCCAAATATAAAATATAATCAAGCCAACTCAAAATTTCATAAAAATTGACAGATTAACAAATTGCTGTAACTAAGTAGAGAACATACAGAGATGCCAACTCAGAAGGCTTCAGTATTGCAGCACAACCTGCAGCCAAGGCAGGAGCTACTTTCCATACAGCCATCAATAGTGGATAATTCCTTCAAAACACAAGAAAAACAACAATCCACAAAAGCCATTATCAAAGAGTTCTCAAGTCAGTATCACCCAGTGCACATGATTCCAATTAATTGATATAAAGCATTATAATATCAAATGCAATAATTAAGCCTTCAAATGATAAGTAATTTTAACTTGCAACTTGGACAACTATTTTGCAGTTACCACAACAGGCAAAATACACAGGCCTACTTTCATGTAATCAAGCTGCTCATGTATTTAAAAAAAAAAACCCTAAGTTACACAATGCACACAATAGCTTTGATAAATTGTACAAGCAAACCTTATAATAGGACAATGAGAAGAACAAGATCTTTACTCATATTAATAGGAAATGAGAGCATAGCATTGCCAGTGAATGACAATATATAGAAATAGTAAACTCCATTTACACAAAGAACAACAAACCAAAAACAAGAAGCAGATAGTACCATGGAGTAATCAATCCAACAACCCCAATTGGTTCCTTAAGCACATAACTCTTAAATGTATCCATTGGAAGGGAGACAGGAGCCTTTTGCTTTGCATCTAAACCTTCAGCAAGGTCCGCATAGTACTCAAAACATCCAGCAACATCATCCTCGATAAAATGAATAAATAGGTAAGAAAATATACTAAATACTGAACCACAGAAGATAGAACCTTCATCAGTGTTGCAAGCACACCATGTCCCATGCTGCTTCATCAAGTGGTTTCCCGCAATCAATTGCTTCAAGCGTTGCTAATTCAGATTTTCTCTCTGTTATCTGGACCATTCATACATACTAAAGATATCACAATTGGGTCAACAAAGTCAATTCAAAGAAGAACATACAAACGAAAACTCAGAAAGTGACAGAAATGCTAGAATATTCAGTTACATGAAGAAATCAGTACAGAATTTTGATAAGGGAATTAAGTTTTTAGTTCTTCATCTGCAAAAGTTATCATCAGCGCTTTAGTTTATCTGTATAGGAAAACTGGACTGCATCTGCATATCTCATCGCAATGAAGTTGCTAGCCAAATAACATACCATAAAATTTCTCTAGAGGATATATAGTGTTTTATAGCAAGAACAATGGCCCTAAGTTGTCTGAAGTAGGTAGAAGTACCCAAAATGTAGCACCTTGACCATTGGATAGGGGTGAGCAAATGGATGGATTGGGTGGTTTGGTCCGCTATACCTAAGAACCAAATGGACCAAACATTTTTAAAAAACCAACCAAACATAAAGGAAGACCAAACTGACCAAATATAGAATTGGTTCAACTAGTTTGATTTTGAACCAAGGGGCTAAAATTTTATCACTTTCTTTTTTTTTTTTTGCAAATTACAATATTAAAACTTATAAACTTCATCCATAATTATAAAATATACAAATAATCTAAACATAAAAAAAAAACATATATTTTTTCCTTCACTCACATAATTATTAAGTGTAATTATATAAATAAAGTTTATTATAAATTAAAATAATGCTTATGTATAAATTAAATATATGTATATATATATATATATGATATATCACTTTTTTATATATATGAAATTAATGACACAATTTACATGTTATAATGTTTTAATTTTTATATTAAAGTTTGATAAATAATAACTAATTATAAATAATATGCTATAAAAACTAAAGTGATAACTAATAAAGTTATTAAGTGTAATCATAAAAATAAGATTTATTATAAATTGTAATAATGCTTATGTATAAATTACATATATATACATAATATATTACTTTAATATATATATGAAATTAATAATATAAATTATATGTTATAGTGTTTTATATCAAAGTTTGTATAAATCATAGCTAATTATAAACAATATATTATAACAACTAAGGTGATAACTAATAAATTTATTAAGCGTAATCATATAA